CTCATGCATGCAAGGCAAGCGCTCTACCACTGAGCCACCTTCCAGCCCCCACTACTGCTTTCTGGTGGGTCTAGTGGGTTTCAGTAAAGGGCAGAGCGTCCCTTTGTGCCTCATTCAGCAGGTGTTTTAACTACACCTCAGAGAGCCACATCCAACACCCGCAATGAGCCTGACCAATAAAAACATGAGTTTATAGGCTTCATAAACATTTTACTAGAGAAATCAAGGCCTCTATTACCCAGTGGCCTCTTCTAACTGACAGCTTGTCTACTGGGGCTTCTATGAAGCCCCTGGGCAGGGAGGAAGATAGTGGAGACCACACTGTAGTTCTACCAGCTTCCCTTTTGCCCCCCAGAAGACACCCCCCACACACCCCTTTTACCATCTCATCCCTGCAGCTTTCTTTCCTCCAACTCTCCAAGGCCTGAGGCTTCTTTCCCTAATTCTTACTGCTTTATCTTCCCTGTGGATGGCTGATACCCTTGAGGGAAGTTACCTACCTCTTTCCTGGCTCCCAGCCCTGTTTTGAGACCTCTCAGCTCCTTTTTATGTTCCTTTTTTTTTTTAATGTGGTAAATAGCACCATGAAACTCCTTTTTACAATTAATACATGCTAATAAATTTAAGTCAGGCACTGTGGCTCTCGTGTCTGTAATCCTAGCTACTCAGGAGGCTGAAATCTGAGGATTGAGGTTTGAAGCCAGCAGACAAAGCTGAGAGATTCTTATCTCCCATTAACCAGCAAAATAAATAAATAGATAGATAGATAAATGGAAAATCAAGAAGGAGAGCTGTGGCTCAAGTGGTAAAGTGCTATCCTGGATGGAGAAAACTAACCAGTAAAAGTGCAGCAGTGGAGCGCACTGGACTGGAAAGTGAACTATACAATTCATGGGTGGAGATGAGAGGGAGGGACCGGAAGAGAGTGTGGGAACAGAAGACAATGTATGAAAGGTAATGTATTCATTACCTGACTCGTGTAATTGTAATCTCTCTGTAGGTACATCACCTCTATAATAACAGTAAAGTAATTTTTTTAAAGCCAACCAGGAGTACAAGACCCTGAAATCAAGTCCTAGTACTGGCACAAATTTTTTTTGTTTTTTTTGGGGGGTCCAGTCATGGGGCCTGAACTCTGGGCCTGGGCGCTGTCCCTCAGCTCTTCAGCCCAAGGCTAGCGCTCTACCACTTGAGCCACAGCGCCACTTCC